TTTAATTTCGACTAGTTCCTTGACTTTTCGACTAATAAACTAAATAGTCTATTAAGGGAATAGTAAGGTTAGACGGACTAATAGGGCCGGGCCCGGAGCTATAGGCGGAGCCGGGGCCGGGACTAGGGCAGCCGTTAAAGACAGGGTTAAGGCTCTCGAGAGAGGAGGAGCCGGAAGGGCTATAGCTATAGCAGTAGCAGCAGGGGCCGTAGTATAATAGGCTATAGCAGCTATAGGGGCAGCAGTTCGAGCTATCTAGATCGAGTGCTAGCTATAAAGGAATAAGACTACTTATTATTATATTCTAGTAGCTTCTTTATCTAGTTCCCGGCTAGCTTCTTAAAAGATAGTTAAGTAACCGTTACTAATAGGCTTTATTAGTAGAGATATATCCTATAGCTACTAGCTAGAAAGAGCTTTTATTAGGAAGTATTAGTTAGCTTCCTTAAGGATTTCTTCCTACTTAGCTAGCTATAAAGAAGCTAGTAGGTTCCTAGTAGAAATAGCTCCTAGGTATACTATATAGGTCTTCTTAATATAGTTAGTTATATAGCCCCTTAAGGGAGCTATCGAGGCCTTAAGGCTTAAAAGCTACTACCTAGGAGTCTCTTCTTCTTAAAGAGAGATTAGCTTTATAGCACTAACGGATTCCGTTATTACTATATATATAGTAATTAATAGCTTCGTCTTATAGAGGTATTCTTATAATAACTCTCGTAGTTACCTAAGGTAGTAGAAAAAGCTCTCTACTATATAGAGGTTAGCTTAAAAAAGAAGGAAGCTCTCTCTATAAATTCCGTTGCCCTAAGATAAAGAGGGGTCTTAAGAGGGTCCTACTTATTAAAGAAGACTAAATTATAGATAGTTCTATCTATATAAGCCTATAGCTCCTTTACCTACTTATCTTAATCTTAGGGCTCTATAAGAATCGTCCTATAGATTATAGGGGCGGCAGAGTCGTTTTTCGATATTATTATAGGGGAAGGGTAGAAAAGTTAGTTAAAAATCGGCTTTTCTAGTAAGAGGGGTAAAAGGAAGCTATAAGGGATAAAAGAAAGGTGCTTTTTATAGTAGCTAGAAGGTATAGGAATTCTATTCCTCCTAGGCTTATAACTCTTATAAAGAGAGATATAAGAAGTATATATAAAATATATAACGGTAAAATTAAAAGTAAGGGGTTAGATAAGTAAGGCAGAGATATTTAATTCTTATAGGAGTAGTAATTATAGTAAGGGAGTAATTATTATATTGCTTTTATTATCCTTCTTTCCTCTATCTAAGGCCCCTTTTTATACCTATCTAGTATCTTAATTAATAAAGAAGATCCTACTTAAAGAAGCTACTAATATCCTCTTAACTACCGAGCTTTTTACTAGTTTTTCCCCTTTATTCTAGCCGTTGCCGGCTTATCCGTCTTATCTCTCGCTACTTTTATAGGAAGCTATCGCTACTTCTACTTCCCCTCTTTCCCCTACCCTCCTCTCTATACCTCCTTTTAGCTCCTTCTTCTAAACCGGTTTTTAGCTTCCTTAGTCCCTCTTACTAAGGGATATCTCCGAGAACTACGAAATTAAGCTACGCCTCGCAATACTTTAAAAGCTAGGTAGGGGTATAATATAAGGGCTTTTACCCTATATAGGCTTATACTAGGGTCTAGGCTAAGTCTATATATAAGCGGCCTCTATAGGCTATGCTTTATAATAATCTTATCTCTTACTACCTTTATATAAAGTTATTATTACTTTTACTTCCCTTTTCTCTCTTACCCTCTTTTCTTTACTTCTTTTTAGCTCCTTCTTCCTTCTTTTATACTAGTATTTTTAGCTTCTTAGATCCCTCTTACCTAGAGATATCTCTAAGAGCTATAAAATTAGGCTATACTTTATAATAATAATAGGTATAGATAAAAGATAAAAGGTAATAAATATAACCACGTTATATAATACTAACCTTATAGCCTTATAACCTCTTATAAAATACCTAGGAAGAAATATACGCTTTAGAAATAATATTCCTTTAGATATACTAAATTATTTTATATTCTTCTTTTACTAAAAATATAAAAACGAATTAATCTACTAATTTACTATAGAACTAGATACTAGGTTTAATATTATAGAAATAGAAAGATAAAGATAAACTACTATAAAATTAAATAAAAACCATCCTTTCTATTTTAATATCGAATAATAGAAATAGTAAGTAGACTAAAATAATACCTTTAATAATTACTAATAGTAAGAAATCTAGTCTTATAAGATATCTCTTAAGTAGGGGCTTAAGAGTATAGTAGAAGAAATAAGGGCATAGAAAGGTAAATTTAGTAATATATATCTTAGTCTATCTATTAAGATAAGGGAGGGGCTTATATAGGTATAGTAACTATATATAGCTAGCTAAACGAGGGTATTAAGATATTCCTATACCTAAGTTAGGTCTATATAATATCCTTAGGCTAGGGGAGTTATATTAGTTAGGCAGGCTTCCTTATATATAACTATTAGGTTTATTAAGCATAACTATAGCTTCTTATTCCTACTCTCCGTAATAATATCTATATAATAACTAGAACGATCCCTTTATATAGAGAAAATTAAGAGCTTTAATCCCTAGTTACTTAGTCTTACCTTCTACCTTTTCCCTTAAAAGACCTTTCTTCCTTCTTTATTTAAATTACTATTATTCTTTTAATACCTTAGACTAGCCTTATTAGTTCGATATAGCCTATATCTATATATATAATATTTAGCTCTTTATATATAACCTTACTAGGTTATATAATAATAGCTTAGGCTATACCCTAACCCCTATACCTTTAATAGTTAAAGACCCTAGTAATAAGTATTTATTACTTTCCTAAGTTACTTATAAGTACCTTTAGGGTCCTAGTTTATAAGTCTACTTATAGCTACTTATACTTATAGTTTATAGTCCTTAGAAAGTAATTATATTTTATTATATTTTTATAGTAAGGATAAAACTAGTTTCTTAAGGGATGCGGCCTATATACTTTCCCTAGCGTTATCGTTCGAGCCTTAATAGGCGGCTTTAGATATGCTAAGGACGCAGACCGCTCCGCGAAGCTAAGCGGTCCCGCCGTTCTAAGCAGGATTAACTTAATAGTGGTTCCGGCCGGTAGCGATGCTCGACTCCGTAAAAAATCGGCACTGCGACGTCTTGATCTAACATATAGCCAAGCTGCTGATTCGACTGCTGCTATGTCCCGGCCGCGTTCTGTGGTGTTAGCGGTGTAGTAACGTTATTTAAAGAGGAATGCTCTCGGCCAGGCGAGTGATACCGAATGAGGGCCAGCGAGCTGAAGGAGTGCCCGCTAGAGGGTTTCAGGAGCTAATGACTCTCACATTCGGCCATGATACGCTGCCTCTGAGAGTCCCGGACCATTTTCGCACTGGTTAGCGGAGCTATAAAACTCCGTAACTCGTCGCTTCACCTGTATTAACTTGGGGCTCGCATATTCCACCGCGCGGAGGTTGGGTATTGAGACATGAACGCGCCTCATAGTGGCTGACTCTCTATATCTTATCCTGGCACTCAGAGCGAGAATTGTTTCGGGGTTAATTCTATATCACCGGGGATCGTTCTTACTAGCGAAGTTAGTGTCGCTTCAAGCCCTAGTTGCACCATTCGCTGTCCATCTTTTTTTCCCAAGGAGATTTCTCCGAGGTCCGTACCACCGAGAACCCGACACGGTTAAACGCATCACCGTGCGCGTCGTTACGCACGAGAATCAGGGGCGTGGACCAACATTCACAGCCACGCCAGTCCTAGCCTTGCGAATATAATATAACCAAAAAAACCTGGCGCGGTGCTTCTTCGCATCTTATATGCGGGTGCAACGATAGCCTTCCTCGAATGCTAATATAGTTAAGGTCGACGAAAGATTTTGCATGGTCTTATTCGGTAAAGATGTTATACATGTCTCTGTGTCGATTGTTTCCCGCGGGATTTTCGGCCGCCGCCACCGCTTTCACGAGATTTAAGCCGGGAAATAGTTCAGGTTCATTGTCGTGGATCCATGCGCGGTGGGCTGTCTCTTCAAAACGCTGAGCGGGGGACATTATATCAGTCCAAGAGCAATCTTTGCACTCCTAGCCAGGCATGCCGATCCATTTCTCCTGCTACCTGGAAGGATTTTGAGTGGCTCACCAGCGATTCATCGTTGCCCTTGATTTAGTTGCGGCCGACGGCTTTAAGGCATTAACGACCGGCAGTAAGGGTGATATATCGTCTGGAGAGAGTACTCAGGTACCAAGCGCAGCAAGCGCGGTTTAGGTTGTTATCGCGGGGTTGTTTAGGCTATGAATAGCGGGAGCTACTTATTACAGTGAGACCCCTAGGCCTTTTCTTCAGGCCGCACCCTAGATCTACCGATAGCCGATCTAAAGTCGATCTAAGACCGACGTGGGGACACTTCAGGGCTGGCTTAATTAGCCATAACGCGCAGTAACCCCAGGTTTTTCGGAGTTAAGTAATCTATTGATATTAAGTGGATGAGCTTCGTAGTAGTAACGATATGAGAGGGATGTCTATAGGACACTGGGTATGCCCCTATTTTGCCGGTGGTCAAGTGGTATTTGCTATGTTTGACAGTATGATACTGCCACGGAACTTCTTTGAGCCAGTGCGATTCCTCAAAGATATGTTAAAGAAGTCAGCATTGCGGCCCCATATATCGGAGTACGAGAAGTCTGATTCTATAGATATAATTGGCTTAACAGCTGGGACAGGACCAGTTCTAGGAAACGCTTTTAGGAAAACTATACTGGCGGCCTCAAGCTTCATATTACGTAGCTAGCATTATTCCAGTCGAACACGGCATAAGGCAGTTTAACGATGTAAATCTGCGACAAAACAAGATAGAAAGGGACAAACCAATGCACACCCGAGTTCCGTTTTTATGTCTATAGCCGACCCCAACCTCCTCGGCGTTACTATTATGATATAACCCGGCGATAACCCAGCTATGTCACAACTCCTTGTTAGCAGCTATTGATCCATAGATAGCCGTCTTTGCTGCTCTCCGTTAACTTCATGCCATTAGGTGCAAAAATCTCGAGATTTAGAAAGCCTGCGCCGTTGGTATTGCCCCACAAGACACGGATTGGATACTTCACGCCTGCCTGGAGCTCCTTTTCAACAGTTCTTGGACTATTATCGCCGTACCATGCCTGAACGAAATCGGCATTATCCCTCGTCGCGTTGTTAACCTGCTGATCGCCGAGCCATAGCAACGAAATATCATCGCTCTTAGGAGAGTGAAACTTGTATTTTCCGCTCTGACAGACGTATAAGGCAGTCCGAAAGTCAATTGCTGCATCGGCATAAGTGCTATTGTTAGGGTCAGAGACTAGCGCGATATCGCTTAAGTAGCCCACGCCGAGGGGCCTCTGCTTCAAGAAGAATGAGGGCTGGAACGACTCGTAAGTGCTGCTGAAATCCTTTGCGAAGGGATTTCTATAGCGGGTAAACATAACGCCAGGAAAACCACAAGTAGGAGTAGGGCACGACGAGGTATTAGGCGTGGGCTTGCTGGTAGTTGTGGGCTTGCTGGTAGTTGCGGGCTTGCTGGTGGTTGTGGGTTTGCTGGTGGTTGTGGGTTTGCGTATGGTTGTAGGAATGTGCGGTCTTGGCGGCTTCTTGTAAGACAAATGAGTGTTCGAGGTAGTCCGGTTGGATATTGGGCGACCTATGATTGTCTCGGGCTCATTTTCCATGGGCGCTGCCGCATCAGGCGACCCGCCCTTAGGCCGAGGCCGACTCCTTGCTGGTTGTCGAAAGGGACCACCAGGTGCCGCGCCTGGGGAACCCGGGGCTGGAAACCCAGCAATTGCCGCATCAGGCGACCCGCCCTTAGGCCGAGGCCGACTCCTTGCTGGTTGTCGAAAGGGACCACCAGGTGTCGCGCCTGAGGAACCCGGGGCTGGAAACCCAGCAGTTGCCGCATCAGGCGAGTCGCCCTTAGGCCAAGGCCGACTCCTTACTGGTTGTCGAAAGGGACCACCAGGTGCCGCGCCTGGGGAACCCGGGGCTGGAAACCCAGCAATTGCCGCATCAGGCGACCCGCCCTTAGGCCGAGGCCGACTCCTTGCTGGTTGTCGAAAGGGACCACCAGGTGTCGCGCCTGAGGAACCCGGGGCTGGAAACCCAGCAGTTCCCGCATCAGGCGAGTCGCCCTTAGGCCAAGGCCGACCCCTTACTGGTTGTCGAAAGGGGCCACCAGGTGCCGCGCCTGGGGAACCCGGGGCTGGAAACCCAGCAATTGCCGCATCAGGCGACCCGCCCTTAGGCCGAGGCCGACCCCTTGCTGGTTGTCGAAAAGGACCACCAGGTGCCGCGCCTGGGGAACCCGGAGCTGGGAATCCAGCAGTCGCTGCATCAGCTCCCCCTTGTGCCGACACCGGTGGTAATGAGAGTGTGTGACCGTTGCTCATTTTAGCAGTCTGAGGTCGGGGTTGAGGGTCGGTATCAATGCTGTTGGGATCATTGCCATTTAAGTCGTTGCTGTCGACCTTATTGCTGCCGGCGTTGTTGCTATTAGCATTATTGCTGTTGGCATTATTACTGTTAACGTTGTTGCTGTCAGCATTATTGCTATTGACGTTGTTGCTATTAACGTTATTGCTGTTGAAGTTGTTGCTGTTGAATTGATTGCTTTTAACGTTACTGAAGCTGTTGTAGTTGTTATAATTGATACGAGCGAGCCTGGCCGGAGGGGTAAGGATCCGGTTTGCTATGGCTGTCTCCGTTGCCAGGGTGTGACGTTGTGTAACGGTGATTGTTGTGGTGACGACCCGGTTCGGAGCACCAGGCTTTGGACAGGGACAGCATTCGCCCGCCTTGAACCGCTTATAAAATTGGCCGAAGCGAGCCTCAGCCAATTGAGACAAGACCAGCACCGCCAAAGGAAAGAGACGGTTCATAACGCCTTAACAGACGATGCTCCGGGTGGGATGAACCGTTAATAGATCACGGGCAGGTAGAGGATTAGCTCAGCCAAGGATGGAAGCGAGAGCTGGGTGAAGCGATGGGATGGAGCTAGATGAACATAAGACGTGGGAATCACAGCCCGATCCTTATATCCATCTCGGTCGAGTAGTCGAGGGGCGCTATCGGAGGACGGCGACTTATTTGCTCCATGTTTTCAGCTTGACCTGTAGATACGGCGGGAAGAATAGTTGGTGATCGGCCGCTGTGCTATATGAGAGCAGGGCAAGTACCAGGGGACGAAGGGGTGCACTGACACGCAAAGGATCAACGAGCGCAGCCGGTGCATACCTCTCAGCACTCCCTAATATGACCTGACCTCACTGTTGGCACTTACCTCGTATCGAACTGCGATGGGCGAGCTTAATGATTCCCCCAACGAAAGAGTTTTGCTATGTTGCTCGGCATGTGATATAGCTTAGGCAGAGGAAGTGTCGCAGAGAGACTGCTATCATAAACGATGAGATCGCTGATCTAAGATCCATGTCCTAGATAATAGGGCATGTAGCGCGTTAGTGTTCCACTATGTCTTAAGCTGTTTTTTTCACACGATGACATTTTAAATTGCGTATCTATATTGCCTAGCTTCCGGCACACCCACCCTACAAAGGCAGAGGCTAACGGAGCAAGCGACTAAGCGACAGCCTGGTAGATTACAGGGATAGTACAGTCCCCTGCCTTTCAGGCTCTGCTTTCAATAGCAGCCTTCTCCAGTGTATTCCGGATGAAGTGTTACTATGAGGTGGTTTTTAGCCTATGGATGCAAAATAGGAGCACCCCCATTGGAGGTGTTATTAACGCGTATTATAAGTCCCCTTCTGCTCTGACACTAGTTAATAACGCTCCAACCGCTCAGGCTATTGAGCCAAATTTCAAAGGGGGGTAGTGTGGCTAATCAAAGGCGCAGCGCCGACACCGCACAATTGGGTGCGCACATTCCCTGCGCCTAAAGGCCCTCCTTATATAATTCTTGCTATGCCCGTCCCTCCTCTTCGACCTCTGCCTCTGCCTTATCCCATTGTGTGTCTACCTCTTGCGTAGGCTCTTTTGAGGGCTCTTATGAGAGTATCGCCATGTAGATTACATCTTGTGTGAGGTCAACCGGCTGGTGTTGTAACCCGTCAGCCTTATTAGCCTTGTCACCTAACGAGCTGTGTTGAGGGTCGCTAGCAAGCTCATCCTCATCGTCAGAGAGTGGCGTGCGGCGTATAGCTCGTTGGTATGCCCGTTGCATGCGTGTGCCCGGCTCGTATGTATCACCGTGTTGCTAAAGGTATCGCAAGCCTTATGTAGTGACTGTAGCTGCAGTCTTCTTGGTGGTTAAACTGCCGGCGCTGTTGAAGGAGGCGGCGGCGGCGGCGCCTCTGCTCCTATAGCCTCGGCACGTTCAAGACATCGTAGGCCGAGGGGTCAACGTAGGCGCAAGGAGGTATCGGCGCTGCGCCTTGACAAGCCACGCTACCCCACTTTGAAATTTGGCTCAATAGCCTGAGCGGTTGGCGCGTTAGACAAGGCCCTTCTTTTCCTCGGAAGGGTTAACTATTCCCGCCTTCCGCCGTGCCGTAAGTAATGTTTATAGGTATATGCCGTTGCTATGGTTGAACTACCCTCATTGAGTTCCCGAGAGACCTCTGAGGCGTAGGATCGTGCTAATGGTAGTGGCGATTTCGTTATGTGCTAGGCTCCTGCCGACATAGGAGCGAGAGCCGCGGGAAAATCGTGTTAAGGCTGAGTTAAGGCTATCGTGGCCGCTAACTGAGGCGTCGTCCTTAAGCTAGCGCCCTGGGCGATAGACAAGCGCGTCGGCATAGATCAAGCGTTATAGTAGACGGCGCAGATGCCTGAGCCGGCTAACTGCCTCTTCCGTCGTAGGGGCCGCAGGCCAGTGATCGTAGGCAGGACGCTACGTGTTTCATTCTCCGACGTGTGGCAGCCGCAGCAAAGCTTCTTGTCGCTCCTTGAACTTGAGGGCAGAAGACTCATATGGGGGCTGCCTGTAGCCCAGTCGCTGACCGAGATTGCAAAGGTCATGGCCAACATCTCGGATCGCATTACGGGGATGGGGTTGAGATTCATGCGCTTTTGCCCGGCCCTGTGACACACTTTCTGCAACACAACGGAAAATGTGTCTTCGTCACTTTGGCACTCGGGCCACCATACCGGCTTACCTTTATCCTGGATGTTGGTAACGATGCTTTTGAGCATGCCGAGGGAGTCGCCGACCATATGAACATTCCATAGCAGTTGGATTCACCCTTGGCAAGCGGCATCATCAACTCGACGTCCAGTCGGCACGAGCGTCACATGAGCGCATCCCAGGGTGGATCCGTATAGGGCGACAGGCCGGATGCCCATCCAGGCTTCAAGTCTTCTAGGACGGTCTTCGAGATGCTCCAGCGATGTCGTAAAAGGGTCATCCTAGGCTCCTAGAAGCGTAATACTCCTGAATCCCTAAAGGTTGGTGATGATTCTAGTACTGTGCAGCATCTACATGTTCAAGTTGTCGAGGTGGCTGTGCGGTAGGGGGAAGAGGGCTGGGACTCTTTAACAATACATAACTCAAGAACGACTTGAAAATAGACCTACACACCGTAACCTCTATATACTCCCTTGAGAAGGCAGCCTATATTCGCAATCGCGGCGCGTGTTGGCGCCCTTTTTTTGTAACCAAGCTCTGTGGGGCAAGTCGGAATACTCATCCTTATATTAAGAGGCGATTAGGAGGCTCGAACAAGGGGTGTGGTATTATTCATGGTTTTGTATGCCCGTACATTGAGTCGGTCTAGCGGCACTCCCTGACAGAGAAAGATAACCGAAGGGCTTCATTTACCTGCTCGGCCCATCTTCTCAAATACGGCAATGCATCCTCACGGGGGACAGTGGAATACGATTTGAGTCTCTGGAGTTTACTCTAGCGGGTGATACTCGAGAAGGAGACATGGACAGACCACATCAACCAGGAAAGGCACAGTGGCATTCGCTTGATAAGAAAATGACGAGCGAGGACTGAGTGGCTCGTTAATCTACGGAGCCTCTCTACCCTAGAAATGAATATTGCGGATTATAAACTGGAGGGCAAGACTTCTCGATGTGCGTGCAGTGAGTGAATAGATCACAGGCCTCGTTGACACACGCAGGTATGCATCGCCCCCCGTCTTAAGTCTTGACCTATTCGACCGGGTCCTGATATATCACTGCGGGCAGATGTGTTCACCTCTAAATCATATTTAAAGACTGCGAAGGGGCGACGATGTAAAATAATTTATATACATCTCGCTGGTTTAATCAACGATCGGCATACGCTTTATTGGCAGGAATATATAAGATTATCTCTGGTCACATGAATTGGCGAACAGGAGAACACTCGTAAAATAAGTCCACTCAAGGGAGTCGATGGCTTGCTGTGCAGCAAGCTTCGCGAGGCGTCCCTTCACAGATGTATCAGTTCGTGACTGAAGCCAGATCGCCTTGACTTGTTCCATAAATTACGCGGGACAAGACATACCCTGAGCTGAGAAATTCGAAGCTGTCCCATCCGATGCTTACTGAGAAGTAGGCTTGGCGTCACCAGCGCTTTTCCTGTGCATATGGATTTATGTTTCGACAAACGCAGCCCCCCGAGGCTCGGATCTCGGCGCTCGGCGAAGCACTCGCCGTTTTTCCAAGTTTCGGCTGACTACCGCTTGTGCCAGAAAGAGACGGTGCGGTTTGGCGAGACAACCAGCTGCAGATGATGAGATTCGAATTGGACGTGCAGTACGACGTCTACCTCGACACATTTGGCGAGTCGGTCGGCGAGTGCGCCCACTACCTCTTCTTGCACAAGGATATCTTTCGCCAGACTGATACCGAGAGGCCGGCTAGGAGTTGAGAACGGTTGATTACTGTGTCTGCGGATCAGTCTGAGACGCCAGTAAGCGAGGCGACTTTGTCCGAGCTCGAGGGTTTGGGAAAAAGCTTACAGTAGTCAAATCCGGCTCAACCCTACTCTAGGCCACGGATGTGTATTTTCATAGAGTAGATGGTCAATGCTACTAACTGAAAATTCTAACGGGCAGGAGACAAGATCTTCGAGATGGATTGAACAGTGACTGCGCGCAGTTACGTTGTGAACTGTTACCACGTTAGACCAGACTGAGAACAAAACAATATAGGGCCATTAGTTGTCGCACAGGGGTGCCTGGGCTGTCAAAAAGCAAATTTGAGGGAAAGTCTGATCATGGAAGCAGAAAGAGTCCCAGTTCCAGTAGAGACTCTCCTTTTTGTACAGCATACATACATCCGGCGTCCCAAGCATTCTACAATGCGCCCTTGAGGACTTATTATGGCTCGTGCTCCCCTCGATGCTTTTAAATCTTGGCCATCTGGTGGGCCCAAAGCTACTATAGCCGGCCTACTTAATAGAGCTGCCTAATTCAAGTTAAGCTAGCTTAAGGCGCCTATATAGCTATAGGGGCCAAAGGAGTAGGATTAACTAGCGGGCTATAATATTATAGCTTTAGCCGTAGGCTTAGAAATATATTATTTAAGTAAATTAAAAGTAATATATAATATAGCTAAAAGATTATTATTAAAGTATATATATATATATATAGGCGGTCGTAGGTATAAAAGTAAGTATTTAAGTAGTAAAACTACTTTTTATATATATATTATATAAATAAGTTGGGGGGACTAGCGTTAATATATATCTTAAGAATACTATATAAGTATAAATAGAATTATATTAAGTATATCTTAAGTAAGGGCTTAAGAGTATAGTAGAAGAAATAGGGGTATATATAAGGGCTTTTACCCTATATAGGCCTAGACTAAGGTCTAGGCTAAGTCTATATATAAGCGGCCTCCGCGCCTATATAGGCTAGGCTTATACTTCTCTTCCTTTTCCCCCTTATAGATTATTAACCTTCTTTTAATAGACCGTACCTAAGCCTACGCCGTTGCTTACTCCGTAATAGTATAGAAAGATAAATTTAGTAATATATATCTTAGTCTATCTATTAAGATAAGGGAGGGGCTTATATAGGTATAGTAACTATATATAGCTAGCTAAAAGAGGGTATTAAGATATTCCTATACCTAAGTTAAGCCTATATAATATCCTTAGGCTAAGGGAGTTATATTAGTTAGGTAGGCTTCCTTATATATAACTATTAGGTCTACTAAGTATAACTATAGCTTCTTATACTTACTCTGCTTAATAGTATATATAGTTTTACTTTTATTATATTAGACTAGACTATTTCTTACTTAATATTTTAATATAGAAAGTAGATTTTCTTAGCTAAAAGTCTTAGGTTATTTAAAATTAAATTACTTCCCTTTTTCTTTCTTTTCTATCTATCTTACTTAGACTCTAGATAAATAAGCTGATAGTTATATCGCAATTATTAGAGCCTAAATAGTTATAACCTATTATATAAATAGATAAGACTATAAAAGAATAAATAACCGTAACAATGCTTTCTCTCTAGCTATAGAGAAGAGTTCCATCTAGCTATAGAGTAAATAGCTAGATCCGACATAGACACAACTAATAGGGGCCGATATGACTTGGGACCTTCTAGAGACAAACTGTCTCTTGTAAAACTATTGCTCATTTTGGTCTTTTAGCGCTGCTGGTGTTGATGGCTCGTCAGTACCGGCGGCTATGCGTTGGGTTTCGGTTTCGTATTGAGGATCGTTCCTTAGCGGCATAATTATTGTCCGCTCGATATCGTCATCATCCTGGCCAGGATTTGCAGTTCTGTAGTCCAGCCACTTGAGGAGACTATAAACAATAAACGCCACGAGCGCGCCCGCAAAAGGGCCCAGCCAGTAGATCCAGTGATAGCTCTTGAAGCCAGTGAGGACGGCAGGGCCAAATGATCTAGCGGGATTGACTGAGGTGCCTGTATAATTCGTCCCTGCCATATGCGCAATAAAGACGGAGATGCCAATGCCAATAGGGGCAAGGTATGTAGCCCGATGCTTTTCGACTGCAAGAAAATATACGGCGAGGACGAGCTGAGTGGTTAAAAACATCTCTAAGAAGAGACCTTGCGCGATGTTGGTTCCGTTGGAGAGCGAATTGGCAACGCGCAGGGGCCCGGGCAGGAGACCCATTACCGCTGCTGAAGCTGCAATACTCGCTGCTAGCTGAGCAGGCACTATGACGAGGGCGCGCAGGGGAGTGACAGCGCCGACGAGAGTAAGGCCTAGAGTAACCTAGAACGGGTCAATAATCCGCCCCATATATGAAAATCTACTAGTAGAAGTCAGATTGTAGCTAAAACTCACAGCCGGATTAAACATGCCTCCAGAGACTCGGTAAAATATCCAGACGTTGGCAGCCAGTGCAGTGCCGAAAGACGAGGCAATATACAATAGACTGAACGGGAGCAATGTAGCATTTGGGTTTGACCCCCCCGGCGAGTTATTGACAATGGCAGTTTGAGCGCCTATAAAGGATAGCAGGAGAAACATAAACGTCCCGCAGAACTCGCCAACGACTACGACCAGAGCATTTCTGGACGAGCTTGGGAGCATACGATCTCGCGTCTTCTTGTAGACATCGTCATTTTCTCCAGTTTCAAGAGCAGAGGGGGACGGGAAATCGGCAGCCATGGTGCGGCACTCGTCTCAGCGTCGGAGCGGTAGATGAATAAGAAATTCTCGTTACCAGCGATGACAATATCAAACTTATAAATCACCAATGAAGGGAGGGAAAATGGAACGAAAAGCTTTAGGGCTAGGTGTGAGCATATATATATATCCGGGACCGAGATTGGCGATGGAAAGTTGGGAGGGATTTGGCACCGGACTTGAGTTAATATATGGTTCCGCTTCATGCTTCAGCTGGCAGGCTTCAGCTGGCAGGCCTCAGCTGGCAGGCTTCAGCTGGCAGGATGTGTTAAATCTTAGCTGGAGGTGTTTCGGTGCTAAAAGCCCTGGTGCTAGGAGTTGTCCAACTTGCACATTTGCTACTGTCACATTGTCAGCTTTCCCATTCGTGCGCAGCCAGCTGAAAGGACATGGGGCATCCAATCCATACATAGCGACCAGTAGGTCCACTATTCTGACCCTTTCGAGATATTGTGTTAAGTCCGAAACGATCGAATGACTCTTTTTCCCGAGTTAAGAAATGCGCCTCTGGTAGGGCAGCTGGCTTGCTGCCTGTTTCGGCGACGGATTGCCCTGAACGACGGGCGGGGCTGAAGAGAGCCACTCTGGTCTGTTGCCGAAACTGCCGGGCATCATGAGCCACTAACCTTGTTATTATAGCCGCAGACTCAGTGTTCGGTCATTCAAAAGCCTTCAATCTCGCATGGGATGAGCGACAACATACGTATCCCAGACTATACCAGTTTAAATTTGTCGCCCACCCAGCGTTCGCCGCAGACGGTGGAGTTCCGGCTGCTAACTTCTCTCCTGAATATGGATGTGACCAGCTCGTCTGGTCGCTGGCGAGTCCATGTCCGTGGGTTGCGCTTCGCAGGAGCCGCCCAGCTGGACTGGCATGGCGCAGTCGGGAACGTCGAATTGGTGATAGCCTTACTCGCGAGACGTCTGTAGGGGGCATTGGCTTACCCCCAGGGGTCGGAAGCCGGCTCTGCAGCTTCGCCTTGGAGGTAGGGTGGCGTTATATTTATTATGTAATGGGAACTTACAGGATACTATTGCCTTAGCCCGAATGTACGGATATTTGAGCTTATTAGGGTGGTCAAGAAGGTTTCTCCTTCGTCTCTAAATATGCCCCCGAGCCGACAAGTTGGACTACGGAAAAATACGCGCGATTGGCCTAACCCTCATGTGCTTATATTCCTATCGGTGCCACACCTAAATGTGGTGATAGTAAAAGTTAGGCGGCGCTATTTACATCGAGAACCTTCGCCGTAGGCCAACACGACGCTGCTGAGACTTATGGGAAAATACCCATAGAAATCCCCGGTCCTATTCATGGGCCTGCCGCAGCGCCACGCACAAAGATAAGTCCTAGGTAAATAGGTTCTATCTTAGCATTCCTCTGGCTCTCTCTTGGCGTTCGCGGTAGGGGCCCTTGTCTTATTCCTCAGGGACTTCCGGGATGCTGCTCTTTCGAGTTTGGCGAGCGCACTGGACTTTGTGTGCCCAAGACCTAAAAGTAAACGAGGCAAACCCTTGTTTTTGCTAGCCGGAATTATCTTCCGCCTCGGCCAAGGCTACTACCACAATCTGCCCCCCAGGCACCAGGCGGCAGAAATGGCCCCAGTCGTAGCAGGAAGAGCCCCGCGATGGAATCGGAGACCGGGAGCGGCTTGCCTTGGGGGAGAAGAACCTTCCGCACCTAGCTGCTGATAGCCCTCTGCCTGGTTGGTTCCATTGGCGCAGAGGAGCACCACGGTCTCGAAAGAAAAAGAACTTTCCCACAGTCTTCAATCGTGCCTCCCTCCGAAGAGTTAGAGCCCCGGTGGAACTCCGGAGGCGGAAGCATAGCCGGGTGGTCTGCAACAAGCCCCTCAACTAACAGGTTGCTAACAGGCCGAGGGGGAAAAGAGTTATTACAAGCTGTTACAAAAAATAGTGCGAGCAATGAGTTCCAAATGAAGTGGGGCGGATGAAACCAGTTTCGGCACGCACGGGACTTTTGGAGCGGCAGGCATATGAATCTGAGACTGCGGCAGGAATCGGGAAGCCTCGGAACCCAGTGGAGATGCATCGTAGTTTCCATTCGTCAATGCCATAGAGTAACGTTGGCCAAGCACTAACCTCATGCATCTAACCCCTTTGGGCAGGTATGCATATCGATAATACATTAGAATTTTATTCTCACATACAGAGTATGGGCACGCTTTCTAACGCGGCTTATGGGATTAAAGGGAGGCATCCACTCAATGTCTCACTGACTGGATGCATCGTTGAATTTTCCCTGCCCGTCCAACGTCCCACTTTATTGGCACTGGCAGGTCTCGCAACACCATCCACTGTGTTCTCGAATAGATGTTCGAGAAGTAGTCAAGTTAGGCAGTGTTCGCACACCAGTGGAACCTTGGGCCAAGTCTCATGAACATCAGGCCCGGCGTGTAATCATAACAGCATACGGCCACCTGGCGAGATTGCCCAAAACACGCGGCTTACCGCCTTCGACCCTCAGGGACCTTGTGCCAAAGCATGAAAAACACTAGCTATGGGGGTGGCGGACGAAGTTGCTTTGGCGCCCTCCGATGCCGAAGCTGTCGTCACTACCGAGCGTAAGTTTACCAGAGGAAGTACTTATATACGCATTAGTACTAGCAAAGGTAATGCGAACACCTTAGCAATTTGTCCACCGCCTTAACGCGATATTCAATCTGCCTGAGCTCACATTGTTCTCGCTCCAAGATGCCCTTTATAGCAGTCAATCAGCCTGATGCAAATAGTAGTGTGAATGTGCCTGCCTAAGTGATGATGCCTCGACGTATAGGCTGTTTTTTTTTCCTACTTCAGATATCTTTGTTAAAGAATTGCCTTTACCCCGGCGGTATCACACGAGCTAAGGTCGCCAACCCTGCCGATTGGGATATGCGACGAATGGTGTCGTAAAGGGGATCCACGATCTGGGCTATCCCTTTGACAGCAGAGGGACCGCATCGCGCTTAGGTCACAGCCAGGGATGTCAGCCAATAAAGACGCTGCGCTATGAAAAGGACGTTGATTTTCTAGTAAAGGCTACCATCTTGAGGTACCTGCAAGGACGGCCAGAGACGCCTCTTGTACTCGACTTGGCCTGAAAGGACGCCTTAAAGTTAATGAGTCTAAGAACGACATAATTTTAGTCGAGCGACTGATGCTATAACTCGATGATAAAAACCACTGAGAAACATTCACTTGCTACTTACTATGCTATTCTAGCATCGTTCCACTGTCGCCCCCTGTCCTCGATCAAACGGGTAAACTCCAATCTTTGCTCGCAGCAAGGCTGCAGCAGCTCCTTGAGCACCCTCGGAGATATCCCTAGGCAAGAGGGATCTAGGAAGCTAAAAACACCGGTATAGGAAGAAGGAAGAAGGAGCTAAAAAGAGGTGCAGAAAGGAGGGTAGGGAAGCAGAAGTGGCGATGGCTTCCTATAGAGGTAGCGAGAGGTAAGACGGAAGGGCCGGCAACGGCTAAAAAGGAGGTGGAAAACCGGCAAAAAGCTCGGTAGTTATAAGGACATTAGAGGCTTCTTTAAGCAGGATCTTCTTTATCAATTAAGATGCTAGAGGGATATAAATAGGAGCGTTAGGTAGAGGAAAGAAGGAGAATTAAGGCAATATAATAATCACTCCCCTACCGCAATTATTGCCCCCGTAAGAATTAAATAGCTTTGCCCTGCCTGTCCGACCCCTTACTTCCCCTTTTACCTTCGTGCATTTTTGATGCACTTCTCGCATCTCTCTTCGCGAGAAGAATCCGCCACTTCTCGTGCTAATGCTGTCCTCGGCCCGCTTCCATTTCCAGCGTGTGATGAGCCCCTCGTTAAGACGGTTTAATAGTACATTTATTGGAGGCAATCGTAGACATTACGCGTAGGCTGGTATTGCATGCGTTTAATGTAAGGTTCGTATACCCGCGTATATATATAATTTCTTTTATGCAGCTGCTGCTTAACGCTTTATTTATCGGCATCGGTAAACCGTTTCTAAGCGCTACTAAGAGGTATACCCTTCACTCGATCGGCTTCGAGCACGCGCGCTCCAGGCTTAGATGGATTCATGTTGACAACATCGTAGCAACTACGCACTCGGAGAGCTATGATGGCGTTGCTGGTAGCATATTGAGTGTGCCAATGACGCTGTCGGCTTTACCTTGAGGGCCAGAGCATCTCCTTTGGCAGTGTGTGCTCGAGCACGCCTATGACCTTGAAGTAGTAGAGTTCCTTGCCTTGGGCGGCGTCCTTGTAGCCCAGGCGTCGGATAGTCGCGACGGCTTCTGTCGCAGAGCGTGGCCTGATTTCGCAGTTCTTATAGATATCCTAAGGTAAGAGGGATCTAGGAATCTAAAAACAACCGGTATAGAAGAAGGAAGAAGGAGCTAAAAAGAGGTATAGAAAGGAGGATAGGGGAGAGAGGGGGAGCAGAAGTAGCAATAGCTTCCTAGAGGTAGTAAGAGATAAAACAGAGGTGCTAGTTATAGCTAAAAAAGAGAGAAAAAACTAGTAAAAAGCTCGATAGTAAAAAAAATATTAAAAACTTCTTTAAGTAAGATCTTTTTTATTAATTAAGATTCTAAAAGGATATAAAGAGAAGCGTTAAGTAAAGGAAAGAAGGTGTGAGAGTCTAGGCGTTGCCTAGACAGTTGATAAGTGTGGTCAATTGATAAGCCGGGCAGCTTAGTCAATTGGTTACCCTTTGTCGCGTGCGTGCAACACGTCGTACGTGGCAGAGGGGGGTAGTGGCGCGACCACAGCCTGTGCCCTCTTGGGTCTACTCTATGACAGAAGGATAATAAAGGTAATATAATAATTACTCCTATAGGTATAAGACTACCGTCTTATAAGGAAAAGCTTACGGCTCTATAAGCGCGTATTAAGGAGCTAGAGGAGACGAAACTTTTATAAGATCGCGTTATATCGTTAAAGGAGGAAATTGCTAAATATTCCGGTATTATCGCTACCTATTTAGGGAAGC